GGTTTTAACTTTATTCGACACATTTCATTACTATTTTTGTTTAATGGTCTAAAATATCAGTTACTGGAATAAGACATTTTACTCTCTGTACTAAAAATGGCAATTTATTTTTCTGCTTTATTTATTCAAACTGCAACATTCTAATGTTAAAGTGTGTCATGTAAATACACCATGCCGCTTTTTTTCCATTACTATATTTCATGCTGAATACAAAATTGTCAAAAAGCTGTTGCGTCTCGTGTTTTATTTTTAGTATGGCATTGTTTCCTATGGCATAAACAACTGATAAAGGTCAGACATGCTTATCACTTTAGTAAGAATTCAGGAAATACTCAGTTCAAGGCAGAGTCTCATTTTTTATTGGTAATGTCATTTATAAAGCAAACAAGTTTAAGAATAGTCCTATTGATCTTCTTTTATGTCTTCATAAACATATTTATTTGATGCTATTACTGGTTACTATTTACTATTATAAAATGCTTATGCCATGTAAGGATAGATATCTATTCGTTTTTAAAATTGCATTTCTATATCATAATTGTGTGTTAAATTTTTATGTGGAGATACACAAGGTCATCTTTTCTGCGTTACAATGCACATACACAAGGTCATCATGTTCTGTGTTGCTATGGACATACACACGGTCATCGTTTTCTGTGTTACTATGTGCATACCCTCTGTAATCATTTTATGTTACTTTGGGCATACACAAGGTTATCTCGCCATTTTCCAAGATGTCGCTTTGAAAAATCCGTACAGAAGCCAATATTAAAGTTTTAACCGGTGCAATGCCTTTGGTCGCTTTTATCAACTGCCATTCATAGATACTGTATCATCTTTCATTCTTTTCCAAGCATATGTGTTTTTGTCTTCTCTTATCATAAAACATATTCTCTAGCCAAGGATTACGATCCAGTCCCCTGGTCTCCGCCCTAGGCAGTTTTAGCCAACATTTGTGATTACAATGCTGCGCCATCTACCGGTAGATAAAAGTCACGCCCATTCCGACTTCATCATCCTTGACCAATGGCAGCACCTGAACTCTCTTCAGTGCGGATGTGATAAAATGGTTGTGTCTCGTGTTTACAAATTTCGTGAAGCAGGAACCGAAAATATACGTTGGCATTCAGACATTTGAGCGAGAAACATACACAGAAACTTTAATTAGTTGATTAAAAACTTTAAAATTGTCACTAAATATCGTCCTATGCTTTGGGGTAAAGACTTGTTGAGCAATCAGCACGTGGCAACTGTTTCTTTACATTTTCTACATTTACACGTGATCCCCTTAAGGCGCTTTTTCGTGTATTGAATGCAACCAGTTACAACTGTGACCAATGGAATTCATTAGCTCGTGGATCCAAAATGCTATCTTAATCCGTCAAGGATGGAGATGAGAGGATTGGATCGTAACCCTTGGCTAGCGAAGAGGATTAAAAAAACTCACAAAACTTAATTTTTTTTATGTTAGATCTGTAGTAGCCCCTGATGAACTCACTTACAACTATTAATAGATAGGTGCGAGTTAGAACTAGACAGATGGTATTGACGCTTTTTCATCATTGAAGACCTTAGGTTGAACTATTGATGCCTAGATGGCGTTCATTGTCTTGTTCTTTGCGTTATCAACAATGTTCATCTTTTTAATCCATGAGATAAGAAGTCAAGAAAGATCTGGAATGAGTGTTTGTCCATCTTTGACCAATATTTAAACGAGTTTAATTAAAACTTAGAAGCCACACACGAGCATTTAGTATGCATCGATAGTCTTTCCCCGTTTCCATTCTCTAGTCTGTATCAACCTTTCTTTTAATCGAAATATTTTCAAATTTCATGTTATTTCGTGTGATTGTTTTGTTTTTTTTTGTTCTCTATTATTTTTCTTCTTCTTTCTCGTTTTTTAATGATATTTTCGTTTCTATGGATCTGTAAACTTTACGCTTTATTTGCGTTTGATTATCAAATGCAGCATGTCTTTTCATATTTCTGGTTTCTAGAAATTTACATCCTGTCGACTCATCTAGAAATTATTTGTATTCTATGTTTCAAAAGTATGACAAATTAAACAACATGGCCGCATCGTGTCTGTTCTTGTTTCACTTTCATAGAACTGTCTTTGATAAACCGGTCTTGTTTGTACCCGGATATCACTTATAATGTATTTACCTATACCAAATTGTGAATAAAAACCCACATGACACCCACACCCAGTTATATAATATATAATAGTTGCCTTTACTAGGAATTAATACGAATAAAGTTTTCATGAAATTCGAAGACATAAAAACCAGGAAGTAATTTGAAAATGAGGAATGCATCTCTCTCAAGCATAGCTCTTATTTCTAGTCGGAGTTGGGCTATATTAATACGCAACTTCTCAACGGACACTACTACTCCGGTAATTCCGCCCGTCCGCTAAACCTGCCCACTCCCGTGAATATTTTGTCTGCTATTTTATTCATAGGAACTGTATTTATCCTCACTGCATGTCAACTTTTAAAGAAAAGTTGTCTATTAAGAAATCACCATTTTCCTTTTATAAATATGTGATAAACTGGTCCTCCATGCATATTTACTGCGCATGGGCGGATTTACCGGACAAACACATTTCCGATAAAAACACAGGAGACCCACTTGTGTTGTCGATTTTAAAATTTATTTCAGATATTTTTGGGGAAATGAGATAAACTACTCAATATTGACTTGTCAGTGAATCGATTTATATTAAATTTACTACAATTTGTATATAATTAAGCAGAAATACATACATCCAAAGCCTTATGTGGGCGGATTAACCGGACTGCATCGTACTAGACTATAGTCTCTTGGTATCCTGCTTCTGTTAAGAGAGAACGGTTATGTTCAAATTATTGTTTACGTAACGGTTCAATTTGAGGTCTTCATTGCTGTCCGCGTTTAAGTCATATCGACTTATTCCACAACAGTTTGGATAGGGGGAAAAACTGTACGTTTTAGCTCAATGTTAAAATGCAGGATAAAAACAATATTCGTACAGTGTAGGAAAATAAAAAAAAACATTTGTTCTCGCCACGAAACAGGAGAAAAGCTCGACGAGCCTCGCTTTTCTCTCTATTTCTAAAGCTCGTCAAATATATTTAATATTTCCTTACACTGTACGAATATTGTACATATAACACCTTAATGTATATGTCCACTTTTGTTTTTGATCTATGTCAATGATGTTCAAACTAGCATCGACTCAGATTGTGAAGTTTTGATATATGCAGATGATACTGCAATTTTATTTTCCCATATAGACCCTGGGGTCATCTCGCATAAATTATCCAGAATGCTGGAATCATGTCATGATTGGTTAACTGACAATATATTGTCAATTTTTGGTCCTGGTCGAAAACTTCGGTCCTTAATACCGGTTGATTTTGCTATCTCCTGTAATGGTATTAATATTGAATCCAAAACTTTTGTAGAATATTTGGGAATAATAATTGATCAGTTTCTAACTGGTGATTTTATTGTCAACTCTATAGTGAAAAAGGTCAATCAAAGGCTTAAATTTTTATATAGAAACAAAGAGTGTCTAAATTTTCAATCTAGGAAAACATTGTGCTCTTCTCTGATTCAGTGTCATATTGACTATGTATGTGCATGCTGGTATGAAGGTATATCAAAACAAATGAAGAATAAACTTCAAGTGGCACAAAATAAGATTTTGAGATTTATTCTGCAATTACATCCCAGAAAGAGTGTGACATATATTGAATTTAAGAAATTAGGCTTTTTAAATATTAGTAATAGAGTCAAACAACTAAGACTCAATCATGTTTTCAACATCTTTAACAATACATGCCCAAATTATTTACATACTAATTTTGTTAGAAATGAAACATCTTTCAATACAAGATCTAGTAGTAAAAACTTTTATATGCCAGGAATTAAAGGGTGTGAATCCACCACTTTCTTTTATAATGGAATAAAAGACTGGAATTCGTTACCAGACATGATTAAAAGTTGCTCTAAAAAATATAATTTTAAAGTACAAGTGAAAAAGTTTTTTGATGGATAAATTTAAATCCATCTTTAATAGTGAATTTGTTTTTTTATTAATTATACTGGGGCTTTGACCATTTATCTGTGTTTGTATTTTCTATGTGTCAACCATTGGTGTAAACTGGAAGTCTCGTCATAAAAGGACCCCACTGGAAATAAGTTTTAATAACTTTTGTGGGTCATCCTAAGATATTAGGCTACAGTGAAAATCTAGTCAATTTAAATTTCGCATACCTTTTGATGGTGAAGGTATATGTTTTCATTTCCACACTGTCATAGCTTTGTTACTATAACCAATCAACGCACTGTTGTCCTTTAGTTTTTGATGTATGATCAGTTTCATTGGTAACCATACAACAACTCAATATTCAGTCGTTCATATTCATATTTTAACAAATATAAATGCCAATTGTCCTCGGTTTGGGGATTATTTCCATTTAATAATCATATATATTTAGTGAAGCAGAAGTATATAAGGCTTTCAAATTTAATAATATTGCAGAATGATATTTTTGGTTGCATTTGTTTGCATATAGTCAAATGAAATAGACACCAATTATAAAGTAAATTGTGTATAATTGATAGCAGGTGCTCTTCCAATACACAGAGGACTAAACCATCATGAAAAATAATGGACTTAATTGCACCACAAACAGTTATCTCGTTAGCAATCATATGAAAATCAAATAAAAATCAATTAAACTAATAGGTTATCTTTGTATTAAGTCTATTGTGTAACAAGATATAAATAAATCAGGATTTTGGTAGTGATCAGAACGGTTGAAAACATCATGATCATCGTATCATGAAATGAAATTAGGAAGTTTTGTATATAACTTATTAAATTTCATTGGATGTAAATGTGGGGAAATTTGAAATTTAAAGGTCCTTGAAGAAACTGTTTAATTTAATGTATAAATTACTCTATATACTTTCTCTCATCACAAAACACCGTTGTTCAATGTTTATATCGTTGGAATAAAATCTTGACGGTTTTTCTATGCCCCTATTGTTCGTTGTCATACATATTTGTTATAAACACGCACACATGGAGTCGCTGTAAATGTTGACATTGCTAAAAAGGAGAAGTAATTCCATCAAGTCCGTTCCGCCTATTTGTTGATCCAGTATTATTCGGAAGCTTGCAGTTTCTTACAAAGTATTCCTAGTCATGCTAGTCACATGTGAAGCTTTGGTTAATAGTTGTTTGATCATTTTGCTTCCCATATCTGACAGAGGCATTTATCAATTATTTTTAAACATTTAATGTTGTTATCGTTTGATATAGTACGTGAACTTAAAGTTGCGTAAGGACTATGCAGACAAAGAAAGCAGCAGCATTTTGGAAACTCGTATTACATAACTTGACTAACAAGTATGTACTGATTTTTATGGAGAAAAGAATAGAGTAATATTTGAGATTAAATTTTGGAATTTGTAACACATTGGAGAATACACCCACGAAAGATATTAATTAATGATATATACATTTTATTGGGACTCTAGATACTGAGTTGACAAAGTAATTTGTTTACAGTAATATAGTCAGGACAAAACAAAATTGATAAATCACTTAAATAGTTGTTATTGTGTAACGTGCAATAGATGATTTTACAAACGGATTTGATATTAAAAATACAGTTTGAAAAGAAGACATGACAGACGCCAAAAGAAGCTAGCAACGGAATAATTTCTTCCGGATTCAAACGAAACTATATCATTAGAAACGGCACGATAGTATTATTGATGAACAGGAATCGAATCTTTTTTGAAATAACCATGCAGTAAAGTTATAAAAAGGATTAGTCTTATGAATGATAGTTTGACTACTTCTAATACCCGAAAAGAATTTATTATACAACGAATTTTATCTTCACACAGAAGAAGAGATACCATGTTGACATCACTCAGTTTGTTTGAAAAAAAAGTTCTGCAAACAGATTAAAATATTTAATCAAGACAACAGTTTCCTAATACTGGGTAAATGTTTATCATTGAAGTTAGTTTATTTATAGAGTACCCAGGACGTCAAGTGTACGGTAAACAATATATTGACTGTTTTATGGACCCTTTACTTGCTTCATTGTCTAACCGTTTGGTTTATATATAAAATACGTTGTTTGTTGAACATCTTCCAGGCCATAATCCGCTTTCGGGTCATCCTTCTGTCTGTAATCTGCTTTCAGAATTAATTGTCTAATTGAGGGATTGGTGGAAAGTCAAGTGTTCTTGTGTACACTGTATTGTATAGACAATTTCATGTTATGACATTAATTCTTTAGATTTGGATTAAAACACTGTTCTTTTTTGAAAACTACTACATGACAATTATTATTCTTAGGCTCTATATATAATGGTTTGACTAATAACTGAATGAAACATATGGAAATAAACAGTGTTAGCAGTAATACCGGATTGTTAGCATCTTTCTTCTTGTAAACGTCTTTGGAATATATTCTCTACCATAGATATTGTTGAACTGACGTAAGTCTTTGAACTGTATGCCATGTGATAAGCACCTTATACAGATCTAGTCGTGGAATACAATAGAGAACAGATTGAAAACAACATTGAACTTCGCGCTTCAACAAACAGAAGTTCGTTTTTCTATTTGTAATAAGAGATAATTCAAAGTATTAGTGAAGTCTTAATATTAATATTTGCCATCAGATGTAAAAAAAAAAGAGATAGAAACGTTCGAGAAATTACATATGTAAGAGGACATCTCGTAATAGTGCATAAAAAAGCAGTCACATCAACACAATATTACTGTTTCGTGTCTCGGTATTTACCACGAACGCTGTAATATAATATTATAGGTTATGTTAACATAATTCGTAATTTATAGGTTATGTTAACATAATTCGTAATCTGATGCAAATTTTAAAGTGTGTAAACATTTTACTAACATCAAAGAACATTCATATGCACATCATCATTATAAAAGTGGAAAACTAATAATTGCATAAAAACAAAACGTTGACCATCGATTTAAATATGATAGCAATGATCCGTCAAATTTGAACAATAAGTATATTAGTATAAAGTAAACAATTTGAAAAGTATATCAATACATATTGAGGACACCATTTAAAACTGATGTGATCGGTGGATGAAATGATGAACAAGCAATAGGATAACAAATACTATCACTCTAAGATGGAAGACTTTCCGTATTTTATAAAAGCAAGATCAAAAGTAAAAGTAACTACAACAGTTCCACGTGGATGGGAACCAAAAAAGAAAAAGGTAGGATTAAAACCCGTTCTAATTATATTATTTTATACTTGTTTGGTGGAAAGAGAATATTGAGATTTGTAGATAAACATATGTTTTGATATGCGTGTAAACAACAGAGCACTTATATTTAAGTACTGCGGCATTTGAAATGTTCTTTTGTTGCTGTTGCATGTACATCACGTTGGATTTGAAGACATTTTGATAAACTAAAAACATTACAATGATAATATTAATGAATAGTTTTTTAACATGTAAGGTAATGAATAAAAGAAGTTAATAAGTATTCGTCGATGAGAAAATGACCTAACAATAAGATATAAACCAAACATATATCTATAGGATACCATATGGTCTTCAACAATAAACGCGTGTGTAAACCCTGTAACAATCTATAAATAGCCCTTTGCAAAGTTCCGAAGATCGGCTATCAAGAGCTATAACTATAGCCCTAGCCTTCGTAATGTTCCGAAGATCGGCTATCAATTTCCCTTGAAGAGAAAACTCGGAGATATAAACAAAGATAATATTCATTGTTCCGGAATTTGGACTGGTCCATCTTTAGAGGAGATGTTTTAACCATTTTTATTTGCTTAGTACTTCTCGATATACTTCTTTTTTTTTTTATCAAATAACAAAGGATACAGATTAAAATGTTTAATGAAATCAATGAAGACCACAACACTGTCTTATTGGCCTATAAAACCCCATATTCTTGTCTGTTACCTATTAAAACATAAATCTATAATGTCGGTACAAAAGACTTTTACTGAAAAGACAAAATACATGAAAATTTTATATTTCCCCAAGTCATGATTATAAGAATTTAAAATACATTGTCATTTAAATCGAATTGCACACATTAATTTTTACAAAGAAAATTTTCAATGGATTGGTATCTATGGAGAATTAAAATTAATTTCTCATTTCCACCAGTAGCAACGGAAATCGTATGATTTAATGTAACTGCACCCTCGAGGCGAATATATTCTGAATATATTTATAGACGTACATCTTATCGAATCCTTGAAATATGTCTGTTGGGTTGTCCTACGTGACTGTATATACACGTATACAGAAAAGTTTGTAACTATTCCTTTTTTGGCTATTGTCATTGGAACAAGTATATTCACCTCTTCATTTAGCATCATGCTATGGTTGACCGTTTTGAAAATTTGGGTGACCGTTGACTAGGGATATATGTTCCGATCTCGGTTCCGATATCACCGAATGCTACTTGATATGATTTTTTTTGCTATGAGCAACAGGACGTGTGTCGCTAGAAGAGCAGGAACTCGGCTTACCATTCTAGGGCACCAGAGTTCACTCTTATTTTTTGTAGGGATTGTGATTCCGAGTCACAATCTTCAGTTTTCTCTGTTGTTTTTATTGACTGTTGCTTGTATTTCAACTTTTTTAGCCACGATGTTCCCTCTTTCAACGACTTATGATTTTTATTGGTCCTCGGTATTGGTTCTAGAGCAAATCTATTCCGTATCGTATCAAAAACAATTTTTCTTGTCATTTTTATAAACTATCATAAAAAAAGACATGTGGTGTCTATTCGTTTGATGTGTTTGAGTTTTTGATTTTGCCAATTGAAAAGGGACTTTCCGTTTTGAATTTTCCTTGAAGTTCGGTATTTTAGTTGTTTTACTTTTTCTAACGTTTATTGAAAGTGTAACTCTTAATCAGTCTTATCTCTTATCGAAACGTGTCTTCATGTCAACTTATTAGAAAGAAATCTGACTGGTCTTACAGACAAATATCGTCTATACTTACCTCGGAATTGAATATTCTATAACACTTCATGACTCTTTCGGACCAATTTTGTGACGTTCCACCTATATCACGTCTTCTGACTGGTTTGTTGACACAATTCTTCGTGTCTATTTCAAAAATCATGTCAATGTCATACATATTTAAAACTAAGTTGTAAAAATTCTCATCGAACTACGGTTTAGAATGCCTATCTTTTTGTGTTGATTCCGAGAAAATGTTTTAATGTCTAGTTCTGGAAACTTTTCATGATAAAAATGGTGTTGTGACTATGAATTTGTACTTATTCTAGAGACATATACAGACCTTCAACAATGAGCAAACCCCATACCGATTCCTATAGAGACACTTCGTTTGACCTGTTTGTAGGCAAATGTTCTCCTGATTTAAGACAAGACTCTTCTCTTAGTCTTTATGAATCAGTCATCTTATGAAAAGTCATGTAGACAGATCTTGAGAAAAAGTCTATTCATAACAATCCTGATGACAATCTGGACTGACAAGAACTTTGTCAAGATGTCGTTTCCTTTATAAGGTTCATGTTGTTTTTTTTTCAGAAAATATTGCCTTAACAATTATAGGGAAAAAAACTTTCAATGCGAACTCGGCATGATCATAATGAGGAAAAATAAACAATATACTAATCTTTAAGATGTTTTCATTTTAAAATTAATGGATTACACGAATAATAAAATTGTTAATCATTGGAAAATGTCAAACTTAAGAAATAAAGGAGGTCTTGAAATGTCACATATATTTATTTTGTTTACAAGGTGTCAAAAACTTCATTTCAACGCAAACTATAATTTCAAAACAAGTGATTACTACACGGGTATTAATTGTATGTAGGAAAAATATAATTTATTTAGTAACTAATGGAAAACTGGTACCGAAATTGATGTATCCAACTTTACATGATTCTAAGCCTGGCTTCATTTACCGTGAAGATAAATTATGTTGTTATATTTATTTGAGTAATCTGGGAATATTATACTAGTATAATAGTCCCAGGAGTAATCAAAAATAAGTCTTACAGAATTAATTGTGTTTCAGCGATCAGCGATTGTCTGTTACCTTAATCCTGCCTCAATACTTAAAGTTATTTAAACAAATAGCCTAAGATTTATTTATTAAAACGAAAGTCACATCTATATAAGAATTATGATTCCTTGCATTGTATTGGATGAATCTAACTGCGACAAACATAACATTTTTAGATGGGTAAAATACAAGAATTTGGAAAAAAGGTTATTTTTTTCTGCTATCCCATATAGTCTACATTTAGTTCATTTTTACAAGTTATATAGTTTTGTAATAAATAATGGTGATTGTAAATGAATTTCATTTTATTTGAACAAATTTCAATGAAATGCAAGTTGTCTTTTTTTTTATTAGCCTTCCGTGTAACTATTCTAATGAGCTGATATTTGGTGATTAACTGTATGATAATAGTTAATAATGTAGGTACATAAGATGTACACATTTTTGTTCCTGATGACATTTTGGGAATACTTCCGACCTTTGCATGGGTGCAGAATGTCCTTTAAACATGTTTTTTCACTATTTCAATTTTAATCCGCACTTTTAGTTATTGTGCTGATGAATAAGGTTATAAATAATGTAATGATTAATTATAGACTAAAGGTTAGCTTTATTCAAGTTTACCTGCTTTTGGCTGAATTACGGTCATTCGAATTATAAATTTCTTGCATGGGTCAGTTCTTATCCTCGTTTTCAGAGATTATCCATGGCTTTTAGTTTTAGTTAGTGCCAATAGTTATTTTCGTGTTCCTCAATTATTAGTTTTACCTTTTAATTTATTCTTGATACTTTTCATAATTTATCAATGTTTCAATACATCTTTGAATATTCTTATTTCTGTTATCACTTCTGTCATCATTTTGTAAACAAATTTTTCACACAGAATGAGCTTTGTAAGGATAATTTGTCAAGTAGATTAACAACTTCCTGGTCAAGGTTAAGATTTAGAACTTGTAATATATTTTCTGAAATCCCACCTCTATGAGATCTGGATGGAGGGTCCTTCATTTCTGTATTCTTTAATTTTTTTATGCCATTTTTCTCTATTCTTTACACTTTTCGACAACTATCCTCTATTCTTTATATTTTAGCACCTCATTATTCTCTATTCTTTATTTTTTTGCCAATTTTTCTCTATTTTTTATATTTTTTGCCCATTATTCTCTATTTTGTAAATCCCCATCCACACCCTCCTCTATCATGCAATAGTTATTTCTCTATATATAAAAAACGCAAATTCTAATCTGTATGTAAAATAAAGCGGTTTATTTGAGTAAAAAAACACTCATTCGTTTTTGTCGAATTGAAGTTCACATGCATAGAATAAGAAGATGTGGTATGATTCAATGAGACGACTATTCACCAGAGAACAAATGACGTAAATGAAAGCAACTATACCAGGTCACCGTACGGCCTTCAACAATGAACAAACCCCACACCGTGTAGTGATATAGTATATTCTGTCTTGATTTGGCTAGATATATATATTGTCAAGACATTAATTAAGGTCATTTCTTGGTTAATAGGTAAATTCCAATATGGGAAAAATCAAATTTGTATTCAAAATTTAGAGATAGAAAAATTTATAGAATATTAAATATTGACATTTAGTAAACTAATTATCTACTTAAGCTTAAGCTTGTACTTAACATGAACTTTTAAACTTTTTAATATTATCAGCGATGCAAATAGTGTTACAGACTTTCATAGTATTTTTAATTGCCGTTCTGATTCCATAAATTGGGCATATCAGATATTCAGTTCAAAAGAGCAAAAACTAAGCTTTTATTTTCTTCATAATGATCAAAATACTTTAAAGTCAGTTTTATAATTCAGCCATAATTGCACGTGACGATTTTAAATTGACTTCACTCTAACCTTCTGAGACTGTAAAATTTAGAATAAGAATCTTCGTTGTAATAGTAAAAGGTTTTGACCTCCGGAAGTAACAACCGCCCTTTTTGTTGATAGGGATATGGCCCTATGTTAACCCAAGTTGTAAAATCTGAGCAAAAGTTATCATTGCTTGTTTTTATACAACCGCCTTCATTGTATTGTACGGTTTTTTTTTTCAATTCCCTTTACTCCATCCATTATTCTTGCGTGATTAAATTAATAAATTGTTCATAATAATGGGATGGTATAACCAGAGACATATAATATTATATGTCTCTAGTATAACTCAAGGATTG